ACCTGTAAATCATGCTTTTTGAATATTTACTTTTAATAAAAAATATTTTAAAATCATGTAACCTAACAATTATTATTTTGTTATTATTAGAATTGCTTTAATGAAACGATTCTAATGACATTAAAATCTAAAGTATTTAATTATTTGGTTTATTGATATTTCTATTAAAAGTATGTATCCAGAAAGCATGTTTTACAGGTTTTCTGTCACTCATTCTTGAAAGGTTAAAAAAGAGTTGTGGTGGATATTTGCATAAAATAGTCAATGAACTGCACCTTGATCATGTTCCATATCATCTAGGTCGATTTCTGAATTAAATAATCCATCGTGTTTAAGTTTTGTGGCTTTTAGAAGTCATTTTTTTCATTTGGTCTGACAGTTTTTATTTTGAAAAATTGTATCAAAAAAAGTTTGGATTGTACCTTTTAGTTCGTTATCATAGATTTTTCGTAATTCGGGATCTTTTAAAATTTTCCACGCTTCAATAATCTGATTTATTTTCCCGTCTCTCTTTGTATCTTCAGAATTCTTTGTTAAAGAATGTTGAGATTTATCTGGATGATGCTTTTTTAAACATTAATCTAAACTGTCATTATTTGGATTAAGTTCTGTTATTTAATAGAAAATTGTGGCTTACGAGAAGTAGTAATTTTTGATATTGTTGTTTTATTTCTTCCTGTGATGCTGTTTCTGGTATTTCAAGAAGTTCATAATACGATAAATCCATAATATAACATATAGTAATAACTAATTAAACCGTTAATAGTGAAATTAAGGTCAGAATTGGCGATTATTGAAAACGTTTCCTATGTTGGGTATATAAGATTAACTGGCATCCAATCAGATTAAAGCCTGTTGGTTGAATCCAACCAATATTGGAGTGGGTTAAAAATATGGAGTAGAATCTGGAGCAAGGTTTAATTTAATGGAATGGGTTGAGGATTAGATCAACCCAGCCCATTAAATCCTACCGTACAGTTGCCTCCAAAAGTAACGCCCGATAATTTTTTTATAATAAAACATATAAGAAATTGAAATTTATATAGTCTATAAAAGTTAATATATTTCTATTAAATTTTTTTTTATTTAATATGATCATCAGTAAATTTAAGATTTATATTTTATAATGTATGAGTTTCTCCGGGCAAAGAAATTGACTTCTATTTTTTAAAAAAATTTAAGTTTATGATTCAAAATTTCATATAAAATGTATAAATTTGACTTTAAAATTTAATATAAAATTTTTAAAAGCTGTTTAAAGAAGTTTAAACTATAATTATAAATTGTATTGCTATGAACAGTATAAAATAAAAAATATTATTTTAAAAAAATATCAAGTTTAAATATAACGTAAGATTTACAATAGTAAAAACATAGTAAAGATACAATTTTTAAAAATTGTTAAAAACCAAAAATTTAATATTGAAAATTTTTTTATGTTATATTATTAGAAATTGACAATTGCATTTCATAATACGTATATGATTTTCACCAGAGTCAATTAAGTAATTTTTTTAAATTATAAAGTCTACTATATATGTATTTTACTATAAAATTAATTATCAGGCATTACTTTTGGAGGCAACTGTACGTACATATGTGTCATTCTGTAAAAAGCACCTGTACATATTTTTGCTGCATAGTATAAAAGTGAAAATTTTAAAATAAAATTTTGTTAAATTTGTTCTCTTTAATAATGGTTTGTTTATACACAAATAATTACTATTAATACAATTGTTTTTGATGGATTACTTTTATACAGAATTTTTACACTTTATTTAAATTATTCATATTGTGTTAAGATTGTATATTACTTATATTACTTTTATATGAAAGTGCTAGTAAAAACTAAGCAAATTGTTTTTAGTAAATTTTTTGAAATTTTAAAGTAACAACTATTAAACCAAACTTGATAAAAAATTTTCTATTTTAATTTTATAACTAAATTGTTGAGCTATTTTACTTTAAAGGTTTTAAAAAAATTACTTGAAAACAATTTGCTTGGTTTTTACTAACACTGCCTTATATAAAAAAATTAAAAAGTTTTTAGATTTTTTAGTTTAAAAAATCAGAAAATTATAATTTTTAAAAATATAAAAAGTACATATAAAGTTATATAACAACAATTTTTATTATTTAATTAGAACTAATTTAAGGTTAAAAAAAATGCATATTAGTTTTTTTTCTTTTTTAAAGAGAGGTTTATCTTTTATCTTTCTTATTAATTAGTTAATTTTACATATATAAGATATATAATAAAGAAACTAAAACTAAAAAAATAAAAGTAAGAGTTACTTTACTTTTGACTTATTCTTTATTAAAATAATTAGTAAATCTCTAGTCTTTGATAAGATAATATAAAGAAGGTTATATATAAGTAATATAATAATGTATTTTTTTATTTAGTAAAAAAAGCATAATTAGTTTGGTTTTAAGGATAGAGTATACGATTTTCAAATTATATATAAAACTTTTGGTAAATTTTTATTTAA